CGTTCAGGGGAGCAGGCGGAGCAGAGGTGAGCTAGGGTGGGGGGGGCACAGGAAGTAATGGGGGGGTAGAGGAACCGCTCCCCGCTCCAGCTCACCTCCGCTCCACCTCCACTGCCTCCCCCGAGCGCCCACCGCTCGGCTTCTCCTCCCTCCCAGCCTTGCTGCGCTAAACAGCTGTTTCGTGTGCGGCAAGCCTGGGAGGGAGGGGGGAGAAGCAGAGCGGCAGCGGCGCACTCAGGGGAGCAGGCGAAGGCGAGCTGGGGCAGCGAGGGCACTTTTTCCCCATGCCCCGGAGTCGGCATCTATGATGGCCGGCGCCAGAATGCCGCCCCTAGAAATGTGCCGCCCCAAGCACCTGCTTGTTTTGCTGGTGCCTGGAGACGGCCCTGGGAGAGGGGATGGGAGCCAGACCAGATCAGTAGAACAGGTCAGCCACCGACTCACCACTCGCCTCCTCAGTCCCCCTCCCCCGGCTCGCCTACTCACCCTCCGCCACTGCCTGCTTGCTCACCTCCTCAGCCCCCCACCCCTCTGGCTCGCCGGCTCACCTGCCCCCCCGCCTCCTCAGCCCTCCACCCACCCGGCTCGCCTACTCATTCCCCGCCACTGCCCGCCCACTCGCCTACTCAGCCCCCCTCCCTCACCCGCCGCTTGCCTACTCACCCCCCTGCGGGTCGCACAGTGAGCCCATCTACTCAACCCCTGCGGGCCGCACAGTGAGCCCCCGGGCCGCATGTTGTGCAGGCCTGCCATACAGCATTCAATTACATGTCCATGGACTGTTTTCTCTACCTCATTCAATGCACATGTTGGACAGTGAATAAGGCAGATGCCTACCAACATATGGTCCCACTCTGCTCGGTGTCCCCTTCAGGTTCCCTTTGTTTGACCCTTTGACCTTCACACCAGCCTGTTACATTTTTGGTTGTCCCCTGTAATTATTTGAGTACCTGGACTTTGTGGATCCTCCCCTAAGGCTGGGGGAGGATCCTTTAGCAGTGGGTTGGCATAAGCCTGTCCACTTCCCAGAATCCAATAGGAACATATGGTCCCATGTACACCATTCAACCTCTGCACACTCCTGCCTCATTCAGTATCCATCCTGTACACTGAATGAATGGGGGTCCTGCAGAAAAAAATAGTACACCTCTACCTCGATATAACGCTGTCCTCGGGAGCCAAAAAATCTTACCGCGTTATAGGTGAAACTGCGTTATATCAAACTTGCTTTGATCCGCCAGAGTGCGCAGCCCCTCCCCTTCCCCCGGAGCACTGCTTTACCGCGTTATACCAGAATTCGTGTTATATCAGGTCGTGTTCTATTGGGGTAGAGGTGTATGTAATCATGTAATTACAGACTGCATGTCCAATGACCATCCTGGTTTAGTGGTCAGCTCATGGCCTTATATCTTCTGTCAGCCTAGTCATCCCAGAGAAGGCTGACTGGGGCCACAATCACCCCTATATACTCCAAACCTCCCTCAAAGATTCTGTCACTACAGTGGAGCAGGGGAGGGGAAGATAGGGGGACCCACACCCACGCCACCAGGTCCCAACACAGGGCCCTAGGGTTTATCAAAGTACCCAGCCCACTTATTGAGCTACTCCAAATTAGGTTTTCCCTTGGGTACTTCCTACCACACTAGAGCTCCTCAGTTTGGGGTATGGTGCCTGACTTAGCAGACTCTCCCCAGTCTCTGACAGCCCTGTTCAATCAATCTCTTTTAGGGTTTTTCAGCATCCAGAGAGGGGGAGCGAGCCGAGTCCCTGCTACTAGAGCAGCCATCACAAAGCTTTTGCCACTCCTGCCACAGCCACAGCCTTGCTTCCTGATGCCACATGCAACTCATTTCCCCCCTTTTCCTGGGCTACCAGTGTCCTTTTAAACTGTTCCTCCACTGAGAACATGCCCTGCACCTCCCTAGCCCAGTATTGCTGTACTCCCAGTCCTGGTTCAGAGTGGGGCCTGTAGATGCCATCACACTGTATTATACAGCATAAGCACATGGGTCAGAGGTAATGTTGCATTTATTTTGGCATTTACTAGAAAACATCTAGCCCTTCCTTTGGAGATGACTGCAGAATTGTTCCCTATATTAATTTTTCCAGGATTTTGTCCAGTTTAGTTTTAAATATTCCAAGTGAGGGGCTTCCACCATTTCTCTTGGGAAACTAACACAGGAATTGCCAGACTGATCAGATTAGTGGCCTGTCTAGCTGCTATTCTGTCCCAAAAAATGGCCAATACCAGATGCTTCAGAGGAAAGCATAGAACTTCTAGCCCAGTAACTCAAATAAACCTCATCATTAGGAAATGTCTCTTCATGTACAGCCTAAATTTTCCTTTTCTTAACTTCATCCCCTCATTCTTTAGTTCATTCTTTGGACACGGTAAACAAATCTCCTTCCTTGCTTACTCACTTCAGAGCAGTGTGGAGACAATGCATTTAGAGACCAATCCAATGCCCAGCAAAGTCAATGAGTGTCTTTCCACTGACTTCAATGGGTGTAGGATTGGGTCTTTATCCTATTGGAGAGGGACAGAGCAACACCCCTCCCCCCACTCACAGGTTGACAATAGAGACAAACTGGATGGAGCTGCATCCAGCAGTATCAGTTGGAGTGTGGTATCACAGAAACTTGAGGAAGTTAAACTGAAAGTAAAAGGCAGAGAAAAATGGGGTATCTGCGGGTGCTCCAGAATAAGCAGGACATTGATTTATTCTGTGATTCTGCGGTTGAAGGTTATGAGATAGAAATAATTTTCTCACCACTGGTTGATTTTTGGTGTCTTGCCCAGTTGTCTGCTCGCTGGCACATTCCTTACAACCATGGGCGACGGCATGTATAAGAGGCTGGGGGAGGCTAAGCCTCTCCAAAAAAGGCTGGCCATGCAGGAGGGCAAATGCTCCCTTTGGAGGCAT